TTTAAGTTAATATAAAGATAGTTTATATAAAAAAGTTGCACTTCATTGATTTCAATAACTTAAAAGTTCAATTATTTCTTATTTTCAAATTAAATTCTTTCATATTCTAAAACCGTCTATTACCTACATTTATTTCATATTCATATTCAAATTCATTTTCATTTGGTTAGTCTTTAAGTTACTTTCAGATTCTGCGCTTTCTTATTCTAAAAGTCTAATATTAATTTCATTTTTAAATTCATTTTCATTTGTACTTGGGTTTCGTTAGTCTTAAAGTTAATATTGAGATCAATAAAATAATAAAAAAAAACAAAAAAAGACAATTCATGAATTTGATAAACTTAAAAATTAATTTTCAAAATTTTTCTTCTTTTGTCTATATGCTTTTTTGAAATACTTTGCCTTTTCAAATTTTAGTGCGCTTCTAACCGTGTCTTCTGGCGTCAATCCCTTAAACGGCATTTTGGCAATGGCTCCTGAGAGTGGGAACAAATTTTTCAATGTACATATATGTGTAAAATTTTAAACAAAAAACACCTGTAAGTGCACCATAAAAGTTTGGAAAGGATTTAAGCCCAACCTTTCCATGAGATCCATCCACATTTAATTCATTGATTACGTCTATTTTTAGCAGCATTGAAATATTTTTTATGTTGTTGCACAAAATGGACGAAATAGCAGCATCCTGCAAAATCGATACATTTGAAATGAGTAATGAAATTGATTTGAATTGCTTTATATCTTTAAATATATGTAAGTACGTACATATATTTATTTCCTTACATAATTTTTTTATTATAAAGCATTTCAAATAATTTTTATTCTTTATAAAATTGTCTGCAAATTTATACTTTTATAAATAACGCACATATATATCCCTGTTGGCAGAAGTTATTTTGCATTCCAACGCCCGCATTTCGGGTATATCGCATATCGGAAAATATTTGACGACAGGTGTGTTTGGGCTTCTTGGCGCACCAGTTGTTCTGTAGCCACCTTCTGCCCGGCTATAGCGTCCATGATCGCGGCGTTTTGGGTTTCCACAACGTTTTGCAGGACTTCTATTTTTTTGCCCATTGCTTGCAGTTGTTTCTCAAAGATGTTGCAGTGATTGCAACACACCACTTGAAAAACTTCTTGGTTGCTCCCTAAATATCAAAAATAAGTTGCATTTTTTATTATAATTAATTTTTCATATTTAAATCTTTATCTAAAATTATATATGGTTTTGATAATAAGCTGAATATTTGGGTTTAAAACACACCATTTGCCTCTATGGCCGATGCTGATACGCTTATTCTCCGTGATTCTAAAAAAATATGAAAATATATGTGTAAGGGAAGCTTTATGTAAGCATGTCATTGAAAATAATTATTTACCTATGGTGCATTCACTGGTCAAACTGACGCGTCTTGAGCTGTTTTGTAACAGCATTTTATTCTCGGTCGTATCTGGAAGGTTATATTAACGTTATACTTTAATATCAACAGAAACGATTGTATACTTACATTTTGCCTTTTTTATCGGGATTGCCGCCGCCGACGTGATCGGGTTTTGCGCTCCGTATTTTTTAAAAAGGTGCTCGAGAAAAATAAAAAGTTAATGATTTTATCTCAGTTATATAAAAGTTAAAAAATAAAATAGTAAAAAGTTAAAGATCGTAAAGAAATCACATGCAAGTGTGTAAAATGGGAATGAGAAGAATTTTTTCCTCAAATGGAATGCACATCAATTTGAATTCAACATCATCGAGAGAAAATTCCTCTTCATGGCCAAATGAAGTGGTGTCTGCAGTACATATCCCTAATGTGCAGGAATCGATTGGTTCTGTGAAAAAATTCTCGAAATTTAATAATTTCTTGCCCTTTAAAGTTTTACTATTTACGTCCCCAAATTGTTGAATTAGTATATATTGGAACGATTTAAGAGAACAGTAATTATTTGGATATTTATTGGATAAGATGAAATCTTTAAAATGAAAACTTACACAATCGTTTTTAATATGAAATCCAGTAAATTTTGGCGCAGTTAAAATTTTTTCGTGTTTCAACATATTCGTTATTTGTTGCAATATTTTAGTTGGTTTTTTAACATATGATTTTAGTATTTGTAAATAATTTTCAAATTGGTAGGCCGAGTAATTTGAAGGTACACCTAGTTCTTTAACATCTTCGTGAACATGAAGTAACCCATGTACATTGTAGGAAACACTATTGTCCCCAAAAATTACTGGAAAATTTTCCACAAATAATTTTAGCATATTTCTCCCCACATCAAGGTTAGAAGCATAATTTGGATATTTGCGTTCAGAAAAGTCTATACTTGGTATCAGGGTTCCAACCTCCGTACTAAAAGTCAGTACGCCGTCAATTTTTTTCCCCACTTTGGTGCATTTGGGACAACCATGACGTGAAGTATGACCTGGTATCCCGCAAAGAAAAGATTTTGCTGGGGCATCGCAAACAAAAGCCCTAATTTTGAAAGTAATGCACCGCCCATTACTTTCAAAACCATTAGCTTCAAGCTCTTTAACTTCTGCAACAAATTCACTTAAAAATTCTGTTATTGAATCTGGTTTACTTCGCCCTACATAAAGACCAAACGAGCGAGCGCTGCTTGTTTGCTCGCGCTCCTATTAAATGAGCGAGGCTGTTGGGTGTTGCCTCGCTCGCAGTGCGAGGCGAGTAGCTGTCTGCATACTCACTCTGCTAGGAAAGACGAGTGAGCGACGAGCGAGCGCTCCGAGTGTACTATACAACACATGCATTTTTGTGCATAAAAATGTGGGAATGTATGTCAATAGATTATGTACGAAAGTATGTTAATAATTGTATGTACATATGCATATATATATGTGAAGTATTATATTAGGGCAGCATTTAAAACAACAAATAAAATTGATTACATACATAAGCATAGATTATGGAATGAATTATTTTTTAGAGTTATATTCATACATGTGTACACACATAACATGCATATTTATATATGTTTGTATGTACGTATTTATGCATATATGCATTTATATGTGTATGCACATATGCATGTATTTTGTCTTTACAGAGAAAAGTAAGTAACGAAGATATTATAATAGTTTGTGCCGCAGAAACAAAAAACAAGTAAGCACTTGCTAACACCCCCAAAATAGTTTTCTACTTGTAGCAGTTATGCTGTATACCTGAATGACATATAGTCCTTGGTGAAAAAATTTATTTGTGGCCTGTTGTTCAAGGACATGTGTACATATGTATGCATGTATATATGGATATGTAGACATGGGAAAATTTGCGTAAACAAAGGAATAGAGACCGGTTCGCATACAACATTGGCGTTGCGTTGGCGTCGAATTTCAAAGCAGCCGTCCACATATCCAAAATTTGGCAACGCTAAGGCCAACACAAAGCAGAAAGATCGCTGCGTCGGTCGCCAGCTGTTGCAAATAAATAAAATTAAATGAAATGTTTTTTCCTTTTAATCAAATGAAGGCAAGAAATATATTTTTCATGCTATTATTGATATGAAATATTAATTTATTTCTCGTTAATATGTTAATTTAGTGGCCAAAGTAGTCTCTGCCAAGCTTCATTGTAGAACGCATACTTTTAACGTGCGTTCTGTCATTATGCTGATGTCCTACTCATTTATGAAATGAAAGACAAAATAATGATTTTTATAAATATTATGTTCTCATTTATACATTAGTAACATAGTTACTGTTTAGGCCACCGGCATAAATATTGCGCTCCACCCTAATGGGCGGT